GAAAATAAGGCCAAGTGCTTATTTTCAAGGTTAAAAGAAAATAAGACCCTGTCTTATTTTTGGGAAAACATGGTAATGCAAAGATCAGAAACACCTTTTCCGAAAACTGATACACGTCGTTTTTCAAAATCTGCACGCAGAACACTATTTATATGATGAATTAGCTGGTCTCCCAGCTTGAGAACACTTCTCTAAGTTGGCGATCCCCAACTTTTACAGCTTGAGAACCTGGCTGGGGGGGGCGGAGTGGGGAAGTGTCCCGCCGTTCACACAAGTTGAGCTGTGAGGGCGTGCACACTGTCCCACCACTTGTACGGCCTGCTTCCAAATGGGCCATGGACCGGTACTGGACTGTGGCCCGGGAATTGCCCCTCCCCTCCCGCTCTACGTAGCCCCTTTATTCTCTTGCGTTCGCTGAAGTTCCTGAATGCAAAGAGATGGATAGAGGCCACACCACGAGCGACTCATTCCAGCAAATGTGATACCTGGAGCTTAGCGGCTATGCCAGTAAAGGCGAGCCAAAATTGTGCGTGTGCCCACACCCACAGTGCAATGTGCCCTGCCCACCTGTGTATACGTGCACAACCCGCCCCCATGGAGGGGAGTTTTTGCCGGGGGGAGTCTCTGGGGGGTGGCATGGGAGGCTGTTTTCACCCTCCCCATGCTTCAGGAAAGCCTCCGGAGCCATTTTTGCCCTGCCCAAGCTCCGGAGGCTTTCCTGAATCCTGGGGAGGGCAAAAACAGCCTGCCCTACTACTCTGGAAGGCCAAAAATCAGCTGGCTGCACGTATATGCACGCTGGAGCTGACGGCTTGCATTCCGGAAAATATGGCTCCACGCGCCACCGGTAGCACGCATACCGTAGGTTCGCCATCACGGAGTTATGCAATTCAGCTCCAGAGCCACAAATGTGGCATGTGAAGACCGTTGGCTTACCGTAGTTGGATACCACCGTAGACAAGCAAGGGACGACCACAGCGGCAGCTGCAAGCAAAGTAAAACAAGGACTGTTAGAACGGGAGCGCATGCAGCTTTGCAAGGGACGATCTCTACCACACGCCTGCCAGAGCAACCCATCACCTCAGTGGTGGGTTTCAGCCGGTACGGCCCAGTACGGCCGTATCGGTAGTAGTCAGGAGGCGCGGCCAAACGGTACGGTGGCTCGTTTGGCCCACCCGTCCTCATTCCTTACCTGTTAAGACAACCGGGCCAATTGTGCAGGTGTGCAGCACCTGTGCAACCTCCGATGAGCAGCTGGGTGTGGCAGGGATGGCGGAGTGCGAATGCCTGCGCAGTGCATGTTAGGTGTGCGCACAGCGGACGTCCGACGCATGCACGAATGGACCACGAGCAACGCACCAGTAGCAAAGGTAAGAGCAACCCACCACTGCGTCACCTCCCTGGGAGCAGACGAAGCGTGTCTCCACTCTGTGCTCCTATTTTCTCTCAAGGTTGAAGCCAGAGGAGTTGCAGTTCTCTCCCAAATTAACCTCTCTCCCTCTTACTACTGCCGTACAAAGGGTTTACAAGAGGTACACCTTTCCTTGGAGCGTGAAAGCAGAGGCGTCTTTGGTGGGTGGGTATGCACAAATGAAGACAACCCACCGCTGGTGTGAAGAAGGGATGCTCCCCCTCATGCAACCCTGCTTTGTGGAGCATCTTTTTCATGTGACCAGAAGGAAGGTGTGCTTCAGAATGGACCTTCCGTAAAGGCCACCTCCTCACCAGCAAGGGACGTCCCAAAGGTGCTTTTTCAAGAGGCAACTGGATTTTGGGTTTTCCTCCAAGACATTTCGTTTCTCCTCCCAAGAAGCTTCTTCAGAACTGATTTTGANGCGCGCTTTTGACGTTCGCGGTTATGTCGTGCCACGAGCTAATACAACTTAGTGCTATTGAATAACCAGAAGTTCTGCTTCTTACTTGCTTCACTAAGTGAGAAATTGAAACCCCACTTAATTATTTAGTTTGGTAATGAAATGTCTGCAAGCAAACAAACAAGTTTAGAGACCATAAACAGAAGCCTGTTTAAACAAGAGAGGAGGAATTGTTAAGAGAAGCTTTAGGCCAGTGGTCCCCAACCTTTTCATCTTTGTGGACTGGTAACGGTGATGGTAGGGGGAGGGAAGAGAGGGGATGATTCTGTGCGGGCAGCGGGCATGTGCTCACCCACCAATTGCACAGCCCAATTCTGAATGGGTTTCAAACTGCTACCAGGCTGCAGCCCAGGGATGAGGGACTCTTGCTTTAGGCCATGTTGTATTGAAAGCTAAAAACCTGTTAGAGTAGGAGGGCAAGTTCATACAATTTAAATGAAATAATGCCCACATATTTTTATTGTGCATTTTGCTAGATGGTTATGTCTCTCTTGTCTGGGAGTCTCAAGCAGAAGACTAACTAGTTTTGAAAACAATGAAACTCACTCTCTCTATATATACAAGTAAATCTGAATGTCAAGTCAGCTTTAAATAGCTAGCTAATGCTATTTTTTATTGCATTTTTGTAAGCCACCTTGATTAAAATTGCAAGATGAAAATAAAATAAATAAAAATGAAAATGTATTGATTATGCTTCTTTGAATACATGCTATGCAAAAACAATCAAGGCCTCTGAAAGCTGGGACACGGGAACCATCATAAATGCGAGCCAGTTGTCAAACATCCAAATGTAACATGTAACATGACCATGGAGTTGCTTCAATGTTCGCAAATGTGAAAAATGGTCATAAGCCACTTTCTCCAGTGGTGTTATAACTTTGAACAGTCACTAAACAAACTGTTGTAAGTAGAGGACTACCTGTACTGATATTTAATTTATTTATGGTGATGTTTCCCAACAGTAGCATTCCATAGTATTCTGTTAACCAAATGGTTTTTTAAAATCACTTTTAAAATTTGTAATTTTAAAATCTGCTCCAAATAAGAAAGAAAATCTTTTAGAACAGAATCAGAAGTATCACCAAAGGTTGTGATAGAGGGGAGCAATGAGAAAAAAAAATTACTAATAGTA